AATAATTCTTCATTTTTGACGGCCGAAGCCACGCATGTTGCGGCAAAAGCTCGAATGATAGTTTTAAAAATGTTTAAAAATTTTAAAACCGTTATAAATTTTTTATTCCAAAATCGAAATTTTGTTGAGTTTTACTATTGAGTTGTTGAAAGAAAAGTTTCGACATTTGATTCAGTTTTATCACTGGAAGCCCAACAATTTTTTTATATATGTTTTCCATAGCATCTTATGACAATTTCTTAATTCGTAGACAATTTCTGTTAGTTAGAACGGATGCGAGCCTAAAGATAAGAATCTGAGTTAAATTAATAATAATAGTAATAATAGAGCAGGCGCGCGAAAATCCATTGTTTTCCATGACTTCAGTGTTTAAAACACATTTATTTTAATTAACTTAATTCCATATCAATTGTCGAAAGTAAACCTTTAAAAATGACTCTATATTTACCAAATGAAACATGCATATTTACATGATTACGTTGTTACACGTGAGGTTTTATACAAACTGGTGTTGCGCGAAAAAGCGATTCTAGCACAAGTACTCAATGTTTGAGGAGATAATACATTGTTAACACTTACCGAGGGTCTCCAACTGTTTTGGGCTGAGGTCCATTCATGGCACTGTTCCATTGAAAAAGCTTCGAAAGTCGGTTCTTCTTTTTCAAGAATTTCACCCCGAATTGACTTTTTATTCGTATCTTCTTCATCTGCAGGATTCTCAGTCTCTTCAAAATATACCTAAAAGTGTAGTTCGTGTGAAAAGTGCGTTTGCTTGGCCGCAAATTCAAGTTTTAAAATATCGTTCAGACAACATTCTATATTTTTTCTCATGCGTTATTTTTAGATCAATGTGCCAATTTGGTGAATACGTTTAGGTATAGAGTATGTACTTTTGGATTAGATTCTATAAGAAAATCCGATTTACACGCGAATGCTGTAGTTACATATTGCGGAATAATTTTAAATTAAAAATAACGTGATGAGTGTTTGATAGGCGCCTACATACTAACGAACTAGCAAAAAATCAACATTTTCCCATCATTGAACTCTCGGGAGCAGGCATTATTCCTTTTTATAGACGAATAGATAAGATAACAGCTATAATCTTAATAAAGATAATGCGACCTAATGAATAAAAATTGCAATTAAATACTTTTGACCATGAATCAAAATATTTTTTTTGTTAGATAAGAGTCTGTAAATATTAGTTCGAAAATGGTCTTTCAGTTTAAGAAAGTGTTTCACCACTTGAATTATATGATTTGTAAACTTCTATGTCTTTTTATTATCTAGGAGTTTTTGACGTTTTCGATTAAATTACCTACAAAAATTAAGGATAATCTTGAACCTCCGCATTTTTTTACAGTATCGATTTGAGTAAATATATTTGAACTGATTGAGCTTGAAGGAATGTTTCTTATAGATTATTTTTAAAATGTTTTTTTAACAGAAGGTTTTAAAATCGCACCGTTCTTTCAATCGAATTAAAGTGAATTTTAACAAAAGTGATTTGATCAAGAAGTAATTTTGAAAATTAACAGATTTAAAAAGTTTAGTTTTTTTAAACGTACATAAGATTCAGTTAAAAAATACACCTTTTAATTTTTTAGCAGCTTTTAAGTTGAAGTATAAACATATATTATGCCAAACTTTTTGAATGTGTTCTTTCGGTGTCTACTTTTTGTCTCTAAAGCTCATCGACAAGACCTAACATTAATAACAAAACGAGTAAATTAAAGAAAAATATAAGTTTTCTTTTTAATATCAGACGCATTTTAAAGTGGTTTGCAGTAGACTTTGGTACTTTAAATAATAATAATAATTTTTTGTGCCTTCCCGCAATTTTATTGATTAATTTGAAAGTTTGCTTTTAAAGACAATTTATTTCCAAATTAATACAAACAATAGATTTTAGTTGTAACCAAACCTTAACTATGACTTATGACTCGTATATCTTAAGACTGTCTTTAGACTAAGATTCACTATAGACTATCTGAGGCTCAACCTCTTATGGCTGACTTCTGACCAGACCTCTCATGACTAAATGCTGGTTTCTGCTGTGGCTTCTTTTGTACTTAAATTATGCTGATCATATAGCAGAAACGATACTACGTCTTATTTTATAAGAATAGTCGGCATAAGTGGCCATATAATTCCGCATAAACCTGGTATCACAATGGTATTCCTGTTTGAAGTCGGTAACAGTAACTGTTTTCAAGATAAAAACTGTTTAATTGCATCTTAATCACAACAAAGTAACAAAATTAAATTAAGCAATTTTAGATTTTTAAAGTAATTTTTCAATGATTGGATGTGATATTTCGATAAGTCCCAGAATATAGAATTTTATTACGGTATCTTTAGATTAGCGTGAATTATTTTTAAAATATGTTAAGTTTGCAACCCCGTAAATCAAAACGAAGCCGTTTTTAATACGTATATTTTTGTAAGATATTTTCATCTTAAAATTGGATTTACTATCGACCGTTAAAGTCCTGCTACTATAAACTGACTCACCCTGTATGTATATATTATTTTATAGCTTTGCGTTAGCTACAAGAAAACGGGCGTTCCGTAATATTTGTGGCCTTCATTTGTAAAAAGAGTAATATTTGCTTTCTAACACCTAACAAGTGATTGAACAAACATTTTTTATTATAAATTTTACATTTTTAAATACCAAAATAAACTTAAGCAATGAAAATAAAAGCAATTCGATTTTGCAACGATATATATGTTTAGCGCTTTTTTGAGTTGACTTTAATTGAAATTTAATTTGATCATAAACTAAAGAAAATCATATTACATAGTTTAAAAAAGTTAAAAACTATAAACTTAACTTGTTTGCCTCAATATTTTCATGTCGTGATAAAATAAAAAAAACGTCAATTAACTCGAATACCAAGCGAATTAATAGCCTTTTTTAGGTAGCACCAACAATTTTTTTTTAATTCAACAGACTAAAGATAGATTTAATAAACAAGGTGTTTACGAAAATTGAACTTTTTAATTATGCCTTGTTTTCTTTCAACATTTTAAATCCTTACATGAAACGGAAATTTATTTAATCTTTGTGAAACTACGACTTTTCAGCCTGTTCAACAACTGTAATCGTTCGAAGTATAATTTATTCATTCTTTTGAATCTCGACAAGCCTCAACAAATAATCAAATAGAAATAGCAAAGTTTATTTAAACCATTAACCAACTTGTAGATTGTTTATTCTATACTGTTCCAGCTGAACGAATGGTTTACTTAACAGAAAAATTCGAAAAAAGCTCAGTTCAACGTTTAGAAAGACTCGATGCAGATATGCAACAATACCCTCATATGGCCATGTCACGGCCACGGTTCCACTCAATCGGAAGTGGAATTTACATTGCGTAAAGACTAAAAATCTTAATCACCCACAACAATAGTCACCGCCCTCAACCTCAATCGGTCAACAGTTCGATTTTTTACTTGTTATTTAAACGTACCTGTAGACCTTGTCCGTTTGGTTTTGATTTACACATTTCTGGAAATGAGGGCTTCTTCTAAATGTAGCTCTAGTTGAAATCACTCTTCTCCCTTTTCTTCTAATGGCATTCGATCTTCGAAAGAAGCATTGCTCGCAGGAATCAACAGGATTTGTCTGGTATATTTCTAAACTTCGCATTGATTCATCCATTTTCCTACACTTGCACACACACGCACACTGTATAGTTATTTTATATCGTTTTAAAGTTTCTGCCAGTCTCCTCAAAACGATCAAAGTTAAGTCATCTTTGAATCACTTGCTCCTTTAGGACTCATCAAATGTTAACAACCAGTTCTTTGTGGAATAATATAGGTTCAGGAAACGATGCAAAATATGAGTGGAAGATAAGGATAAATAAATATTTGAGAATTTTAACAAAGACAAGTTGTTAGCGAACGGTTTATCTCACGTCGTCCAAACACGCGCTTTTCAGGAGAACATTGTACTAAATTAAATACTTGCACTTTGTAGATTTCCACTTTTAGTTGTCTAAAATCGCTTCTACGACGCGTTTATGCAGTTTTTTTTTAAATCACCACCACTGAGTCCCACTGATTTTGGAATTAAATGAATGCCAAAACGCGTGCACAAATCACGCAAAATAAAATAGAGGAAGCTATTTTACTATTTGGGAAATAAAAGCCGAACAATAGAACACTAAAAGGATGGACATGGGCAAAAAGGGGGGGACATATCCGTCATTGATTAGACCATGTCGAGCTGGTACAACCCATACGCTATAATGCCCCGCTTGACTGAAAACAAAGTGCTTTTGTTAAAGTCTTACGGTCACACAATGAAGAAACATTGCATTTGGTTGCGCGAATATTTTCTAAAATATGTATAAGCAACAAATAAGTGCTGGTATT